GAACTATAAAAAGTGAGTGTCTTCATTGTCAGGCCGTTTGAAAGCAGACTCTAGACGAAAACAACACAACCATGGGTAATTGGAGAACCCGACATGGTGAAATACAAGGGCTTTTCTCCGTCATAGGACCACTGCCACCTATAGGATCCTTCGTAAGGCGGACCGTGCAGGAAATTTGTGACCGACTGGCTTCTGAAGGCGATTTNTTTGAAGCTGGTTTCAAGATTTTTGAAAAAGTCTAGTGAGATACGTTCATTCTGATTCCTGGAATGAACACATCCAACTGGACTTTGTCTCTTTGCGTGGAATCATCAAAGCGAGTCCTGAAATTCTGCTGGTTTTTACGTAGTCAGTAGTTTCGTTGAAACTCACCTTTTTGTCTGAGCTTTCAGAATGTTTTACATCGAATGTCATTGTTTTCCGAGGTTGTTAGGTGGAGTACTTATTTTCTGCCAACTTTCCATCGCTCGTTGATTGTCAACCACCTCAAACAAGGCACACAGCTAACGGAAATGCCACTCCTCCTCACACGTATTTTGCCGTCATATAAGAAACGTATCAACTCCCTTTATCTCGAAGAATAAGCCCCTGATGAGCTCATTCATAAAATCGTCGGTGTTTTTTGTATGTTTCAAATCACCAGCGTGTAGAGAAGGTCTAGTTCGGTAACTACTCCGAAGGATAGTGTACACTACTCGCCTCTCACATCTCACATCACTCCATTATACGAAGTTTCACATACTGTGCCCGTCTCTTACAATTAGTCTATCGATGTCGGTTCGCCCGCTGAACGCCATTTTCGCATCAGTTTGTGGGGTAATTGGAAAGGTTGAAAAAGTCAACTATTCGGATATTGTTCATAGCTGGGGAGTCGTGATGTAATGGAAATACAGATTGGTAGAATCTGCCTCTATAGGTTTAGTACGTATTGACTAGGAAACACTTGGGATTATGGAAATGTTAAATCAAGGAGTTCGGAAGTTTTGGATCATCAATACTCATCCAACGTTTCCTCCCCCCCCCCCCCCCCCCCNCCCCCCCCCTTGTAAGTCTTCTTAGAGAGTACAAGCGGGATACTTTTCTGAATGTGAAAATCAGAGAAGTCCACCAGAATAACGACATCTTCCGAAGGACCATGAGCTTCTACCTTCCCAGGGCACTTCAGGTGGATCTCACAAGGATGCGACCGACTGAAGAGGACCTCGCGATTGAGAAAGAGATGTGCTGTGTGCAAGCGTTTGTACATAGTACGTCGCTAGCATATGATTCGTTGCTACGCAGCGCCTCTCCTTCAGCTCCTTCATCCAGCCTGCGACAAATCTGAATTAGAGAAAGGGGACAGAGGAGAGATCGAGGAGCTGAGCTGATACACACAGGTGGCTGTGGACGAGCCATGTTCCGCTTCCTGACGCACACAATTTGATTATCCCATTTCCCTGTTGCCCTCACAATCCATACCAGTTCGATTTATCCAATCAGCTGTTTATATTCTTTTTTGAGACCTAATTGATATCTGTGTTTATGGCTATGAGTTTTCTTATGCTGGAAAGCTTGTACTTCCAGCATTTTCTCGATAATGCTCTTCAGAAGCTTCTTGCAGCTCTCACGATTCTTCACTTCTCGTTTTTCCTGCACTCATTTCTCTGAACCATTCTTCTGATTGCTCAATGAATCGGTTTACACCATTATTTGAGTGAATGAGAAGGGCCGATTGATACTAATTGCTAGTCAATCCGCAATTTTCTTGAATGCGCCAAGCATTGAGAAAGCAATCATTCGTTTCGAAAGGAAATGCATTTGAAAACAAACTTGTTTTACATATTGATTCGAAGAAAGACGTGCTAGTCAAGAGTTCATCTTGATGTTTGTGACGGAATCCATCTAACCATTCGTCCTAAAAAAATGGGCTCTGGGGACCGAAAAGATCTACGATCTGACTTCGCACTTTCCACATTGTCATCTCTACTACCTCTAAACATAGTAATTGGATACGTCACGAAATTAGTTATGCAAAGACGTGATGCTGTCCTACCATGCCTTCAACACTTCCGAATTTCCTTATATTACTCTGTATTCCTTTAGATTACGTCCTAGTATATCGATGTTTCGTAACGCGGAACTCCTTGGTCGGAAGCATTCTTAATGACAGCAGGAACAGTAAAAACCTTAGGGTCTAAGTGGCTTGCCAGTTAAAAGTAAATAGAAAGAAACTGCTGAAAACATCAACATAAGACCTCATCCTATATCCCTCTCCTCCTCTCCTCTATTATCCCGCTCGAGTTAGCATCTCGATTCACTAGAATAAAGAAAAAAGGCGCCCACACAACTTCTCGTATTTTTATGACGGCAAGTTCACCGATATCATCAGCTCTGCCCTGCAGCGTTTTTCGCCAAAGTTTCGATCCCGTGCTCATCTGGCTACTTTGCAAACAGGCTCTGTCCAGCTGAGAATGAGAGAGCAACTGGTATGGGAACCTGCCCGCATTAAAAACAGAGTACCCCCTAAAATAAAAGTAATAGAAATTGGAGCTTTAGAGAAGTCACCACATCCCTTGCTCTCAGGTCACAAGAGGTCTGAAAAAAGATGTGGGTTAAGAAGGACCTTAAAATGACGGTGTGAGCAAGACGGATTGTAGCTAGAGCGGAGCGCTGACGACTGACGAGAATAGCGGACCCTACGACGGCGTGGGATTAGCGATATAGAGAAGAAGAAGAAGGATAGGAATTCAACCGAATTTGAATGATATTCTCAAGCAGGGTGACTTCTGGTAAACCAGTAAGCAAATGCAATGATTCCTTCCTGCTCCTTTACAAAATGCATTCTTGTACCTTTTCCAACCTTTGTATCACGAAGTCGGTTCCTGTATACTCGACCGTCCTACTCCCTAAACGGACCCCTCTTCTTATGTATTCACGAAGCGCACCATCAGGAGGAAGAGGGTGGTAGTCTAGGTGTTCTTACGCGTTTACTCACTGTAACCACTGCTGCTGGAGTAAATCTTGGAGAGGCAGTGGTTCGCTAGCCAGTGTCTATACGAAAATCACTAGAAATTCTGGATTCCTAGATTTCAAGGAGTATTCTAAAGCCACTTATCATATAGCGAAAAGACCTCTAAATTTTCTCGAATTGTAGTTGAGTTGTTTTAACGAGTTGAGAAACAGCAAAAGGAAATTCGAATGGATGGAGTTATTGGAATGCTTTTTCTTTCTAGGAGTTCTAATTACACCTGGTCACTGAATATTTAATTTGCGATTGAAGTCCTTATTCCGCAGAGGTTTTGTTGCTTTCATTGACCAAATAGCTTAAGCGCAGCTGTCTAGTTGTGAATATGATGCCGTTTACAAGTTAACATCCTAAGCTACGCACTCTACGATCGGTTTGCGGTAGTTGTCATTACCTTATTGAAGTGACTGGTTAATTTGTATAAGCAAATAGGTCACAATGCGCCATTGCGGCTGCCTTGTTGAAAATAGGTCGCGTGCCGTCTGGTTTCCCCAAGAATACCGCGATGGCGCATCTTGACCCATATCCATTTCTTGTACAGCATAGGAACGCGGTAATCTATGAGGCCCTTTGTTCATAGATACTTGTTTCCCTACGTGAAAAAAATATTGATCGAACATCGTTTTATAAAGCGTATTTAAGACGTGCCCTTCAATGTTCGGATGCATTTACAATGCTGCTCGATAATTTAAGATTCTTTCCAACCTATTACCTCAACAAGGCATCTGCTTAGTTGGCTTAGTTAAAGGCACAGTTCACGACAGTTTTAAGCTACCCTTTTTAGGTTGAAATGCGGAAGTGTTGATGTAGAGGAGAATATCGGTGGCGAAGAAAGCGAGAAATCTGAATATTTCATACTTTTAGAAAGTAGTGGAAGTGGAGGTTGGACGAGATCACCGCGACAGGAATGCATGTAAGGGGTGTTTGGACGAGATTTAACATGCTCCCATCGTGCAAAGAGCTGACTACATCAAACCATAACTGAGAGAATTGCCTTACACTGTCGCTATGGGTCATGTCAAGTTGTTTGAACTTATTACATTGGTCCCCTTGTGAGTGCTACAGCCTCTAAAAAGCCGCTGAAATTCGTCCACTAGGGGTGTGGCATTCACACGATACAATCTCTGGTTCCTTATTGTGCCCTTCCAGNTTTGCCATTATATTGACAGGTATGGTATAAGGGGGAGCCACATTCATACAACAGGGAAATTTCAGAAACCATTTCTATCGTGAACTGTGCCTTTAATGAACAGCACAGTGATAGAAAGTGCTTGCTCCATTTCTCCTTCTTTTTTTGAGTTTTCCTTACCAAAATCTTATGAAGATATCTTGTAGAACCTCTTGAGATTACGCTCACTCTATCTCAGCCTATTGTCCGTCACGTTCGACTGTTCAGCGTTTTTCTATTTCACTTGGTTTTCTTATCATGAACTTGTCCACTAAACTAATTTTTTCCGGAAGCAGTTTCATTTTATTACGACGATTACTGTGGGGTACGACTTCTATAATGAGATTCACTTCGAAATATAATAATCGCTTATATTTTACCTTCACCCAGAATATTTCAGCAAAAACCCTTGCCTGACCGCTTGATGAGAACCACGAGAATACCTCTCGTCACCGACTCCATCGCCTGCATGTGATCGACTATTGATTTATTGACTGACGGCCTTTAATTGTGTCGTTGCCGA